TATATATATATATATATATATATATCTTTTTTTCTGTTTTGTTCTTTCCTCTTTCGGCTCCAATAAAAAAATGCATAAATTGATTATATTGCTTTATTCAAAAGCAGTAAATATGTTAAGTTGACAGAACACAGCAAACAGGTCAGAGTTGTGGAGAGTTTTAATGGGTAAGCTTCACAACACTGTGCTTAAGCCACCATTGAACAAAAAAAATGAAAGCATAGGTAACAGATGTGTTTCTTCTAGTTAGATCACCCACTCTCTCTGCTCCTCCTCTGTTGGACATCTACCGTATCATTTACCTGTGATATGGAAGTAGACTCATAAATCATCCATCCTTCCATCCATCTTCTCCCACTTACTCAGTCAGGGTTTATGGGCGAGAGGCGGGATGCACCCTAGACAGGTCACCAGTCTGTCGCAGGGGAACGCAGAGATGCACCAAGACACACGACAATGCACACCCACTCACACCTAAGGATGTCAATCAAGTTTTGGACTGTATCCGGACAGAGATCCCACATAGGCACAGGGAGAGCATGCAAACTCTATGAAGAAAGAACCGGGTCAGGAATCAAACCCAGAACCTTGCTGCTGTGCTACAAATGGCTCCACGGTGCTGTCCACACATAATTCAATACATTTTTTTCTCTGCATCCCCTATTAAATGATCCATTAAATGGTACTAATACTTAACCCCATGATGGGGGAAATTTGATGCAGAGCACACTATAATAATGTAGAAGAAGGTGCTGTAGTCGGATAAAACCTTTGTTTTTTGTTCCCAATGGTCATGATGCTCTCATCTTCTGGAATATGGTGGCTGGATGTTTTTCCTCAGCAAGAACAGATAAAATCAAAGTGAATAAAATAACATGGGGTTAAATACAGGGCAACCTTTAAATAAAAAATACAACAGCAACGAAAGGCGGAAGTCAGACAGCAGATACTGTGATGCAGGTTCATATTATCTGAGGAAATAAACAGACATACTGCTATAGACATTACAATGGAGTGGTTTATATCAAAGTGTTCCAATGCATAAGAATGCTATTGTTGAAATCTAGACCTAAATCCCTTTTGGTAACTTCTGTCAACAGACTCCTTCTATCTAATTCTATTGAGCTTGTGGAATTTTGTAAAGAAGAAAGATTTGGATATTTAGTTTGTAGATTTACAGACATATAAATGCAAAGTTGCAGCTTTATCTGCAGCAAAATGTTTTCCTGCAAAGGATGGATTCTGGTGAGACTGGAGATGAATGCAACGGATCCTGTTCAGCATTTATTCATTAAAGTAAAACAAAAGTCGATCCTAAAAACGATTTTCCCAACTCCCTTACTCTCTGTTGGTCTCTCAAATAACCCTTTAAGCTTGTGTTGCAAGAAGTTCAAGAGGTATGAATACTTTTCTAACGAATGGATTTCAGCATTTTTAACCAGCAACCACTGATCATTCCTTTTATGCAGATTGAGGAAAAACATCCCCACAAAAGGGAGGATAAAGCAACTTTCCTTAGGCGCCAAACAAACTCTTAGAGGAAAAAAAACACCAACACATAAAATACCGAATACTTTTTCTAATATACAAGAATTGCATTCACAGGCTCCTTTAAAAACACACATATATTCTATAACGGCATGCACCACCCTAGGCAGCAGGCAATGAGTTCTATTTTGTGTGTCCAGCAGCAGTTTTTCCATTAGACCTGATGTAATGTCCACTTCATAATGGACCTGAAGAAAGGCTGCATTGAAAGACACTATTTTATGAGCACAGGCCAAAGTGGGACAAAATGTCCTCATGATTTTTCATAGCATGCCGAGGGTTTTCTTCTGTTTATCCTTGTTTGTCTCTTTCTCTTTTCCCTTTCTGTTTGTCTCTTGACCTCTGAATCTCTATGTGTTACAGATCTTTATTGGGGAGGTGTCCATGTATGTGATGAAGTCAACAAGGGAAGCCCTCCTGTCCCAGGAGAAAACGATAGTAACAGGAGACTGTTGTTACCTCAATCCACTTATTCGTCGCATCATTCGCTTTATAGGTAAGAGCTCCACCATGTTTTATTGTCTGAAGCCATTGATGTTGAGTGAAGGGAGCAACATCTGCACATATGTTAGTTCTGTAACTTTTAACTCACACAAATATTATTATCAAAATCTAATGATTCTAACTTTAAAATTCAGTTTGGAAACAAATGATGTAACTTAAGATGCATAAAATTTGTTTATAAAGTCTTTTAAGAAATAAAACATTGTATAGTTCTTTACAAAACCATCAAGATCTCTCAACTTTTTAACATTTTTTTTAACAACCAGACAATTAAATTGATTTAAATAGGATTTGTTATAGATCTAAGTGGAAGAAACATGATTTCTGTTAATATGTTTTAGCTCATTTTGCTCTGATCATTTTCACCTTCAACATCTAAAAAATAATCAGTGAGAGGTAATAATGTATAAAGTGTCCTATTTATTTGCAATAATAATAAAATATTTGTTTCCTGAAGTGTTGGAATGACATTTAGCTCAGGGCTGCAAACATTTTATTTATATTTTTTATTTATTTAGCTCATCTTTTCTAGGTTTTCTTTTAATAATAATAATAATACATTTGATTTATAATGCACTTTTCATCAAAAATACCTCATAGTACTACAAAAAAGAAAAGTATTAAAAAAAGAAATACATAAAAAAAAAAATGATTTTAGTTTTTTTATTGTAAAAAGTAATAGCTCAATGATTTTGCAAGTCTGGGCAAATGATCAGACTTCCTACAGAGATTTTACTGGGATTATTCAAGCCATATTTCTCTTTAAATAAATCCTTATCAATTGGTTGACCTTTTTTGAAACACTTTTCAGACAAGTCACTTAAATTATACTTCATATTTTATTGAGTAATTTCTCCGATTTAAAGGATCATTTCGGGTCTTCGCTATCCATTCTATTCCCCTCCCATCTGCTCCCTTCTCCCTCTAATCCCCCGTCTCTATTTCCCCCCGATGCCCTTCACACAGTCCCCGTTCCTCACGCAGACACCCCTTCACACTCATACACATGCACTGAGCAGCCACCCTGCACCCAAAGCCTGGATGACAATACAAAAGACTGTAATTTCATGGCTAAGCAGGCTAGATAATCAGTAGCCATATTTCACAGCAAAGGGAAGGCAGACACAGACACTGGTCAGGGTTGGTGGGCTCAAAGTGTCAGTGCAATCATTCATATTAAATGTGTTTTTTTGTTTTTGTCTCTGTTTACATGCTCACTTTTCCTTCCTGCTGAAAATAACTATGCTCGTTGCAAACATATTCCTCCTCTGTTTTATATTTATGATGCATTCATTAACTAAAGTTGGATTGAAATAAAAGCGCCCTCCCTGTTTGATGGGCTCCATATTGCACCTGTTAACACCTGACCAGGAGAATGAGTACAATTTGCATTCAGTGGTCTGTGTCAGTGTTTCTTCATTCAGGAAATACTACAGCGTATTCAGTGGAGCGATTACCTACCTAATCCACCTTCCCTGTGAAAAAAAGCTCCCTGCCGATACGTAGTCGCACCAATTTGAAGAGAAGTCAGCCTGTGCATACATCCTTAGTCGAGCTAATCTATGTGCATGCTGAGATATTCTTGCCCAGTAGATTAGTGTGAGGATTGTTTGTTTGTCAGGCAAAAAGTCCCACTATCGTTGCATGTTGTTCCCAAACTGTCTGGAAAAGCACTGGATTAAGTAGTGTTTTGCAGGTGCTGATAAACATGAAAAAAATAAATTAATCTGTGTGAAAATATCAGTATTTTCAGGCTTGTTTACCTTTCCTATTGTCTAAAACTTTCCATCCATCCATTCATCCATCCATCCATCCATGCAAACATTGAGTTTGAAGCATCTGTCGGTTCTGGGGGCTAGACAGCTGCTACCCAGTTTAACCTTTCACAAAACCAATGTTAACGTCAATGAAGTGTGTTGTTTGTACAAACGGTTAATTTTGTTTCTTTTCCACCAGCTCATAAATGTTTTTGTCTTCCAGGTGTTTTTGCATTCGGCCTGTTTGCCACAGACATCTTCGTCAATGCAGGCCAGGTAGTAACTGGAGGCCTCTCGCCTTACTTCCTGTCTGTCTGCAAGCCTAATTACACTGGCACAGAGTGTCGGTTCAATCACCAGTTTATCGTCAATGGAAACATTTGCACTGGAAATCCCATTGTTGTAGAGAATGCTCGCCGGTCGTTCCCGTCCAAGGATGCTTCACTGAGCGTTTACTCTGCTGTGTACCTGACGGTGAGTAGAGAGTGCCTGAACCCAATGTTTACTTTGGGGATTCTGTTGTATTTAATCATCAGCAGCTCAGCTTGATCCTATTTTTCTTTGACCTGTTTTTCACAATATATTTTTTCTAAAAACTAAGCTAGAACCCTTAGTTGGTATAAGAGTGTTCAGTTAGCCCAAGGTTGCAAACTGGAGTTTTCTCCTGTACTATTGATTGGCCCTGAGCTTCTTTTTAGAAAAGATTTAGAAAGTGCTTACTTTGTTGGAGGATTGGTATAGATTATGACCAAGAATGGAGGAAACCTGGAAGCAAAAAAGGTTGAAGTGCTGAAACATAACAGCTATGTGGTAATATGTCAAAAAATACCTTTTAAAATCCTGAGATCACTAAAAGAAAGATCTCAATATGTATATTATGAAGTATTTTTATACAAAAGAAATAGCAATTATATCAGATAATTATTTTATAAAAAATTAATGTCAATGTTTTCATGTTAGAACTGTTATTATTAAGATAATTAAACTAATTTGATTGTAACTGCAGAAAGAATGTTGCTGTTGATCCACATCTGATTTATAGATAAGGTCAAAGGTCCAGAACTACTAGCAGTGAGCAAATCACCTTCATTTGATTTATTTAGGGTTTAAAAGCAAAACTGGCATGGTTGTTTTTTCCCCATTTTCTTTTTTTTATTACCTGTGATCAAGTTAATCACTTTTTATGCATAAAAAAAAATAAGAACAAGCATTTTTAACACACTGGACTGAATATAATAAATAACTGAAGGTGCAGCAAGATACTAGTCATAAAAGCTGCTGAGGTAAAACCTGCAGCTGCCCAGAGACAGATACAGTTCATAGCATTGTGTAAAAACTGACACTGCAGACTTTACTAAGCAGCTCAACCTTGGACACTGAAAAAGGTATTTATTTCTTCCCAAATTCAGCTTTTTTTTTCCATTAATGGTCTTCAGGGTTTGATCTTTTAAAAGTATACTACAGTACATACCCTTAATGTGTATATAATCAATCAAAAAATTTTAGAAGATCAGTTTTTTATTGGGATTAATTCTATATTTCTGCAATTCAAACATTTCTTCAATGAAAAATGTTTAATAAGAACATTAGAAAAAGGTCATTTATGTAGAAATAAAATCAGATATGAACTCGACCCAATTTATTCACCAACTGTATAATCTTTTTCTTTTGGACATTTTGAGTAATGCCTTTCTGCTTCCTATCAGTTTTGACATCTCTGATTAATACCTGAGCTAACTTTATCTTGTGGTTCCAATTAAGTGTGGGTGTAGAAAACTGTTTAATAAACTAAGTGCTTTGATTTCCACATCATAATTGTTAATGACCGGTTTTAAATCAGCACCCTTGGATCCAGTCTCTTCAGCTGTCGTTTAAGCCTCAGCTGAGCACACCCTTAAAAAGGAATCACTGCAATGCTGTGAAGCAACTGCTTAGTCTTGTCATGGCACTAAAGCAACATTAGTTTGCACAAAACATGGTCAAACAGGCTGTCAATACCTGCTGACGTATATATCTCCCATGGATGTTTTTTTTTTTTTTTTTTTGTGTAACATTGTGTCTTGATGCAAAGAGATGTTTCAGCTTTGTAACCTCGGAAAGAAAAACTACATTTCTATGCAGGTGTCTTTGTCTTTCTTTTGAAGAAAAGCCTCTATGAGCCAGCTGACTTACAGTGTGCAGCAGCAGGCAGGAGAAGCCTTTTTCTGAGCAGCATAAAGCAAGGGAAAATCCTCGCCATTCCAACGCCGTCATCATATCACATAACAATAAATAAAAAAACAAGGCAGATACAGTGAGAGTGCCATTTTTCCGATATTTTGAGTGACTTTTCAAAACCTAGATATGAAATACTTGCTCATACCTTGTGTAATTTATATAGGTAAATTCTTTTTTTTTTTCCCTGCAAAGGCAGATTACCATCGCCATAAAGTATAATAAAAGGCATTTACAGAATCCCACCTTTGGGATTTATTTAATTCAATTTCAATTCAGTTTATTTATATAGTACCAGTCCACAACACGTCATTTCAAGACTGAATCAATCTGACTGTATGATCTGGTGAACTAAGTTTTCTATCTAAGGAAAACCAGTTGATTGCATCGACTCATTGACTCGAATGCAATCCCTCACACTAAGCATGCTTGTAGCGACAGTAGAGAGGAAAAACTCGCTTTTAACAGGAAGAAACCTCCAGCAGAACCAGGCTCAGTGTGAGCGACCATCTGCTGAGGCAGACTGTGGTCGAAGGAGACAGAAGCAGAGATACAAAAAGCAGCTGTAATTAGGGCTGGGCGATATAGAAAAAAAGCTTATCGATAAAAAAAAATGCATATTGATCGATATCAATAATTATTGAAAAGATTTGAAACCATATTTTATGTGCAGCTCTGCCTGGACTTTTTATGATATTGCTAAATGATTTAATTTTAATAAAGAACACAAACACAGACTTCCATTAAAATATTTATTTAACCAACTTTTTTAACCATAACAGAATTGTTTTAAAGAAAAAT